TAACCTACAAGGTGCGGCAGCCAGGACGCAGAAAACAAGAACAGATTTATCACGTTAACCTTCTGAAACCCTGGCATGCACAAGAGGCATGCACAACGGTCCAAAAAGACCTAACCCAGGAAAACAAGCCTTCCAAACAGGTGAGAGTGTCTCCCAATTTAACACCAGACCAGAAGAATGAGGTGTCTGAGATGATCTTCCGGAACCAAGATGTGTTCTCGACAAAACCGGGTCGAACAACTGAGACATATCACCACATTGTCACGAACCCTGGGGCCAGAGTAACAATGAGGCCCTATCGGGTGCCAGCGGCAAAAAGGGAGGAAATACAAGCGGAAGTAAAAAAAAAATGCTGGAGTTGGGGATCATTGAAGAATCCCACAGTCGGTGGTCCAGCCCAATCGTGCTGGTGCCCAAACCTGATGGCACCACAAGATTTTGCAACGACTTCCAGCGACTAAATGAAGTATCCCAGTTCGACGCGTACCCCATACCTCGCATAGATGAGCTAGTGGACCGTCTGGGTAATGCCCGGTACTTGACTACCCTAGACTTGACAAAGGGGTACTGGCAGATTCCCCTTGCAGAAGACACAAAGGAAAAGACTGCGTTCTCTACACCAGAAGGTCTTTTTCAATATACTGTCCTCCCTTTTGGACTACATGGGGCCCCAGCTACCTTCCAGCGCCTCATGGACAAGCTATTACGCCCGCATAACAGTTATGCTGCTGCCTACTTGGATGATGTGGTCATTCATACCCCAGACTGGGAAACCCACCTGGAGAAGGTGGAGGCAGTCCTCGATACCTTCAGGCGAGCTGGCCTTACAGCAAACCCTGCCAAGTGCGCTGTAGGGCTTACAGAGGCCAAATATCTTGGCTACATTGTGGGAAAAGGTCTGGTAAAACCCCAAGTGAACAAGTTAGAGGCCATCCAAAATTGGCCCCGACCTAGTCGCAAGAAACAAGTCCGGGCGTTCCTAGGTGTGGTGGGGTATTTCCGACGATTTATCCCCCGCTTTGCCACAAGGGCAAGCCCCCTGACAGACCTAGTGAAAGCCCGTGGACCTGATCTGGTGAGATGGTCTGACGCAGCAGAGGAAGAATTCACAGACCTACAGACTGCCCTCTGCAGTAACCCCGTACTGATAGCCCCTGATTTCACCAAGGAGTTTATCCTGCAGACGGATGCATCAGAAGTAGGGTTGGGGGCCGTTCTATCACAGATGGTCGGGGAGGAGGAACACCCAATTCTATACCTCAGTCGGAAACTCCTTCCAAGGGAACAAAAATATGCAGTGGTGGAGAGAGAATGCCTCGCTGTAAAATGGGCCATGGAAACATTGCGCTACTACCTGCTCGGGCGCAGATTTGTCCTCGTGACAGACCATGCCCCTCTTCAATGGATGCAGCGGAACAAGGAGAAGAACACAAGGGTGACCAGATGGTTCTTATCCCTCCAACCATTCCAGTTCCGTGTGCAACACAGAGCAGGGAGCCGTCATGGCAACGCTGATGGCTTGTCACGTGTGCACTGTCTGGCGTCCCAAGCTGCCCAACCCCTTGGCGTTGAGCAGGGGGGAGGGATATGTGACAGACCCAGACCAGTGGGGTATAGGAGTCTGGTAGAGAGCAAATATACTGGTCACTGGATGAGTAGTTTTCTGTTCCCTGAGTGACCAGAGCAGGGGCTGCACTAGAGTAATCAGGAACCTGCTAGAACCAGTTAAGGCAGACAGGCTAATTAGGACACCTGGAGCCAATTAAGAAGAAGCTTCTAGAATCAATTAATCAGGGCACCTGGGTTTTAAAAAGGAGCTCACTTCAGTTTGTGGTGCGAGTGTGAGGAGCTGGGAGCAAGAGGCGCAAGGAGCTGAGAGTGAGAGGGTGTGCTGCTGGAGGACTGAGGAGCACAAGCGTTATCAGACACCAGGAGGAAGGTCCTGTGGTGAGAATAAGGAAGGTGTTTGGAGGAGGCCATGGGGAAGTAGCCCAGGGAGTTGTAGTGTCATGCAGCTGTTACAGGAGGCACTATAGACAGCTGCAGTCCACAGGGCCCTGGGCTGGAACCCAGAGTAGAGGGTGGGCCCGGGTTCCCCCCAAACCTCCCAATTGACCTGGACTGTGGGTTCTCCCAGAGGGGAAGGTCTCTGGGTTGTTCCCCAACCCACATGGTGAATCTCTGAGGCAAGAAAATCCGCCAATAAGCGCAGGACCCACCAAGATAGAGGAGGAACTTTGTCACATAGCCCTCATTAAAAGAAGAATGCACCTCTCTCATTCTCCAAGGTTTGTGCTTTAAAAAATCGTATTATTATTACACTCAATTTATGGATGGTAAACAGAGGCACAAGGTAGAAGTGCAATGTAGGCACAAGATGAGACTTGCCCAGAGTTACTCAGTAAATCAGTGACAGATATGGGAGGGAATCGAACATATCAAACGATGCCGACGCCTGCTCTTACCACTAGGAAATGCTGCCTCTCAGAAGGTATTTAGCCTCTAAAGTAGTGAACAATTTTGATCAGACTTTGGCATTCTCCAGAGACTTCAGGACTTACCCAAGGAAGTTTTAAACATAAGTCTTGGATAACTTACTGTACACAAATAGTTGCAGAAGTAGAAAGCTATGGATGGGATTCCATAGATGGCCTGACAGAGCATCAGAACAAAAACTCAGGCTCCCGGAAAGCTAGGGTCCATTTGGGGGAATTGATTTCATTTCATTTTTTTAGTTCTTCAGGATTATTCCACACACAAGGCTCTGTCTGTCCATACATTACTAAACAAATGTATGGTTTAGAAATCGCAGCGGAAGGCACAAACAGCAAGTAACCAACTCTTGGGAGCTCATGTTACAAAGGGCCATGTGGATGAGGATGCCATGATGTGCGGAGATTGGTATATCATTGGCTGTCAGAGACAGGACAGAGGAAAGGTTCTTAAATGGTATTTCACTTCAGAGCGAGGCCAAGCGTGTGTGACCAGTGACAGACCAGCACAAACACTGTGATCCTAAAGACGCGCCATTATTCATTAATTTTCTCTGTCTCAGGCTTATCTATCCCATCTCTCTAGTGTTAATGTCTGAGGTTGGCCAAATTACAATGAAAGGGCCAGATCCTCGGCTGGCATAAATTGGTACTGAAGTCAGTGGAGCGATGCCAGTTTACATCGGTTGAAAGTCTGGGCCAAATTTTAGTTTTATTATTGAATCAGGTTCTAAGTAAGTAATATTGCTCTGTGCAAGGGAGTGATCAGGCCCTCATCACAGGTTGCTCTATGTGGCATAGATCTCTATTATGCACAGGATAGGGTGACCAGACAGCACATGTGAAAAATCGGGACGGGGGTGGGGAGTAATAGGAGCCTATATAAGAAAAAGGCCCAAAAATCAGGACTGTCCCTATAAAATCAGGACATCTGGTCACCCTAGCACAGGATGCTCTACCACTGCTGTCTGCTGGAGGTGCTGACACACCAGTAACACCAGCAACATTCTGATATTCGCACAAATCACTTCAGGTACGGCTTTTTGGTGGTGTAGCAGCATTGTATATACAAAGGGCAAAATTCTGCTCTTGTTCCAGAGCAATTGTGGGGATGTCGCTGGTGTTACCGTGGATTTACACCCGTGAAGCAGAGAGGGAATTTGAATGCCCTCACGGGGTCATTCTAATTATACTACTGCTTAATACAACAAACTGTCCGTTAAACTACACTGCCCAGAATCTTTACAGGAAGTTGGCTGTCTGTATTTGGCATGGAAAAATTAAGCGTGATGAATTGTGAACAGCAAACTTCAAGGTCTTTAGGTTAGGGAGCTCCCCAAGGCCAACTCCAATGTGTGTACAATATACCGACCATCTCCTTCAGTGAAGGAATCTTCTGGAGTTCCCCAGCGTGCTCAGCAGCCATCTGGTAGTACTGTGCCTACAGCCCACTGTTACTTTAAAGCAGGGCCACCCAGAGTGCGGGGGGGCAAGTGGGGCAATTTGCCCCAGGCCCAGGACCTCACAGGGGCCCCCACAAGAATATAGTATTCTATAGTATTGCGACTTTTTTTATGGAAGGGGCCCCCGAAATTGCTTTGCCCCAGGCCCCCTGAATCCTCTGGGCGGCCCCGCTTTAAAGGGATTGCATAAACGTAGGGAGGGAAGTGCTGGAAGAAGGGTTTGATTTAAGCAATGGTCACACCTTCTGAAGAATCCCAATTAAGATACATCTCACCAGGGTAACAGTGTGTAGTGATACCAAAGAGGTGATCCATTATTCTAGCTGAGCGTTACTGAAATAAAATAAGTTAACCCGGCTCCATCTAAGCCTGTTACCTGGTCAGTATTGGTCTGTGTGTAGGGGTCAATGGTAATTTGTGTACATGTGTGAAAAGGTCAATGGTAGTTTGTGTGTGTCCTTGGGGAATGGAATTAGTGGTGTGTGTTAGGTCTGTCTTATTTTGTGTGTGAGAGAGAAAAGGGGTACAGTCGGTGGACACCAGTGATATTGTGTGTGTGTGTGTGTGTGTGTGTGTGTGTGTAGGGTCCATGATAGTGGAGGTGTGTGGGAAAGCAGACGGTGAAAGATGTGTGTAGTTATAGGGATTATTGGTATTGGGTGTGTGGGTCTAATGGTAGTGTGTGTTAGAGGTGTCAGTTCTTTGGGGGTACTGAGTGCTGTTTTGTGTATGCTGTGTGTGTGGATGGTCAGTAGCGTTGTGTGGGGCTAGTGATCTCCGTGATTGTCTAGGGAGACATTAGCATTGTGTGTATACATGGATGGGGGGATTATACTGTTTGAGGATGTGTTTTTCTTCAAACTCCTTGCTTGTCCATCTCAGATTAAGACTGTTTGAAACAATCCGTGTATTGATGTCATCAGAGGAGTATGAATGCTAATCCGATTCCTGATAGCCCTAGCGTGCAGGGGCCAGCGTGTCTGTCATGCGCTGTGGAGTTTTCATTCCATAATATGGTTCTGTCTGTGTTTTTATCGCACTTCAGCTCCAAGAAAACCCCCCTCTCATCCCCCATCCGACCCCGTGGTGAAAAATAAAACAGAAACCTCAGTGACGCTTGCCTGGTCCCCTCCCAAAATGGAGCAACTCATTCTCATCGATGGCTACCTGGTGGAACGTAAGAAACTGACTGGCTTTACCTGGATGAGATGCCACCAGTCTCACATCCCCGTCCCAGAGTTCACAATGAGCGATCTGGCAGAAGAGGCAGACTACCAGTTCCGAGTGTCTGCAGTCAACAGCTATGGGCAGAGCTCTTACCTAGAGTTCCCAGGAACCCTGCACCTCGGTGAGCCACACAAAGGGATTCAGACCACTCAGTTGACTAACAATATGGCCGTGATCTTGCAAGTCCTTGCCGTGTGCATAGCAAAGCAATGCAAGGTGGCTGCGCTCCAGGACCCGTGCGAGCAGGGCTACGCATTGAGCTCCTGCAAGGTTAAGTGCTAGGTGCAGGGAGCTCTGCATTGAATCTCAAGCCCTTGCTGCCTAGAATGCAGAGCTGTAGCTGAAGAGACATGATCTTAAAGGCACTCTTGAGCAGGTCAGTGAACCAACTAGCTATGTGTTCCTGTCTTGGACCTCAGTCGCGCTGCTCGATGGGGTTTATGTGATGATTGTGCCGTCACACTCATGCAGACAGGATCCGGTTCCCTGGTGCTCCCTGCTCCACTCTGTCATTTTTTAACCTTACAAGTCTATGGAGAAATGTGGGGATTGGGTTTTATTTCTGGGCTGCTGGGTTCTCTGCTAGAGGGTTGCTGTTTGTCTGTGATCTATTGTATTGAGTATTTGTTCGAAGAGATGAGGTGGATCTGATAGGTACCTCTTGCTATTATTTTATGAATCTATGGGCTATGTAAGTAAAATATGCCCAGCATTCTACCTTGCAGGAACAAGCCCTAACTCTGTACCCTAACACCACTGAGCTCCTGCTGTGGAAGTCAAATCCTGCAGCTCTTCCACAGGCAAAATGCCCATTGCCTTCAATGGGTGCAAATGTTGCGGGATTTTGGTCTATTATCTTCAGTTTCCTTTTTCTCCCCCTAAGAGTTCTGAGCATAGTAGGCAACTCTTCACAGTGTCCTCTAGCTTCAGATTTATGTTTTGCTCTTCTCTGACAGAACCAGCATTGGCTGTGAAAACTCCCCTGACAGATGTTGAAGCTACTGCAGGAGGTGATGCTACCTTCATTGTTGACCTCACAACCGATTGTTCTGGCACCTGGTACCTTAAGGGCAAAGCCATACAGAGCAGTGAAATCTACATCATTCGGAGAACCAAAACCACCCACCTCCTCACCATAAAAAACGTCACCAAGAATGACGATGGAGCAGAGGTGAAATTTGTCGCCAAGAATGTTGAAACCAGTACCAAGATGAATGTAAAAGGTAGTTACTTTGATCTCATCCATTTCTTCCTTCAGTCAAGGGAGGCAGGGTGGTCTTGTGGCTAGAAAGGGGCTTGAGTGTTGAAGCTTCTAGGCTCTATTGCCAGCTCCTTTACTGATTTGATATGCGACCTTAGACAAGTAACCTAAGCTTTCAGAGCCAGTTTCTGATACTTGAGTAGTACCTCACTGACTCTAGTGGCATGACTTGAGGAGTAAGGGAATATTCAGTGTTTCTAAAAGCATCAGAATGTGACCTTGAGTTGCGTAAGATTCCCTCTCTGTGAAATGAGAATAACAACATTTACCTGTTTCACAAGGCAAAACTTAATGAACATCGGTAAAGGGCTTGTTGACCCTTGGATGAGAAATCCCTGTGGAAGAATGTTTAAAGTATTAATGCTTAGAAGGGAGTGCACAGATGATTGGGTGCCTCATACAATGCAAATATTGATGGTGAAATTCACTGCAGTACAGAAGTAACTTCCTAAACATTTCTTAATCCCCACTTAAGCCCTTCCATAGGGGCGTAAATGGGGGTTAAATGTTTGTACAGCCTTGCGAAGGGGCAGTTTCACCCCAAGGACATTTGACCTCTAATTTGTTGTGTGCGATTGTTCTGACAAATGACAAAAAAGAGATGTCGGAACTTTAACATTAGGTGCAGTGCAGAGGTAGGGAGAGTCTGGGTTTTCCTGGAGCAAAGGCAGAGTTACACGTAATGGCTTGTTAAGTTAAAACCTGAACCCATTCATTGAGCCACTCTAGCAGAATGGTGGCTTAGCAAGGAGAATATATGACATGTGGTGGGACCCTTGGTTTGAGGATTGTGTTCCTGCCTTTATGGCTAACGAAGCTTGGCAGGTTCTGATTTTAGCTCTGCTGCAGAATATACTATGCTTGCCGGATGCTAAGACGGGGCGGCAGGCAGTAAGTGAGGTGACTTCATTTCTGGCACTTGCACTTTAGAGAGAAAGATGGACCTGGGGGAACAGAGGCCAAAAAGTGGGAAAATATTCACCTGGGGGGAAAATGATACTCTTATTTACACATTCTGACTCTTATTGAACTCTGCTGGATTTCTTCTCTTGTCTTGGGTGTGAACAGGGTTGAACCAACCATGAGTTTCTTCTGTGACTGGTTTAATATCCCAGCCTACAGGAGGCACTGGCTGCTTTAGTGTCTAAAGGGAATTCAAGTTGCCTGTGGAAGACTTCGATTGAGGAGAAAGGTTTAAAACCACGGCTTCAGTGCTCAGAGATACGTGTGTAATTGATTATGAGATTTTGGAGATAGCATCATATATGGTGCTCTACAAGGCATAAAAGTCAATGGGACAGATTCTTATCTCATTGACACCAGTGTAAATCCAGACCAAGTCCACTGAAGTAAGTGGAGTTGCTCCATATTTACACTGGAGTGAGATCAAGATCTGGACCCAGGTTCCTTCTGAGGGGAGCTTGCAACCTAATGCAGACATATATCATATGTGAGACAGTATGATATAATACTTCTTTCTTTCTTTCTTTCTTTCTTTCTCCCAGCTGCTGCAGTAAGAATCACCAACAAGAGTGGAGATATAGAGAAGGTCTCTGCTCGGCTGCGTGAGGAGGCACAGCTTTGGGCGGAACTTTCAGACGCGGCTGCTGCTGTGAAGTGGATGAAGAATGGGAAGGAAATCCAGGCCAGTCCAAAATATGAATTGAAAACAGCAGAGAAGAAACGCATCCTGAAAATTCACAACATCGCAGCAGAGGATGCTGGCATTTATGAATGTGTCTGTGAAGGGGATGACATAGTCTATCAGCTCTCAGTGAAAGGTGCATGACTTTGCTGGGCTGTTTCTGGTGAATGGCCTGCCCCCAGCCAGTGTGGTCTTTATGTGACAGAAAGGGAGCTCACGGAAGTTAGTGACACCCACAGCTCCAGTAGGAAGTGGAAGTACCTCCCTAGAGAGCGGTGGTGTGTGTGAGGTGAGGAGTATTTGGAAGCTGACACCAGACCCTGAGCTCTGTCAGTAGTAGAGGCTCTGCCATATCATCCATCCTGCTTTGTGTCCCGGAAAGCAGATGAGAATGTCAACTGGAGCTTGGTGTCGTTGAGTGAGCCTGGACTGTAGGAAAGGGAAAGATGGTCTTGTGGTTAAGAAACCAGCCAGGTGATCAGGAGACATAGGCTCTATTCCCGCCAGGGACACAGATTCACTGTGTGACTTTGGTCAAGTCACTTAGGGTATGTCTACACTGCCATAAATCACCCACAGCTGGCCTGCGTCAGCTGACTTGGGCTCACAAGGCTTGGAGTGTAGATGCTCGGGCTGGAACCTGGGCTCTGAAAACCGGTGATGGGGGAGGGTCCCAGAGGCTGGGCTCCAGATTGAGCTTGAATGTCTACACTGCAATTTTATAGCCCCGCAAGCCCGAGTCAGTTGACATGGGCCAGCCATGAGTGTTTTTACTGATCCAACTTTAGTTAAAGTGAATGGAGTAAGGCCCTCTGGGAATCAGTGTTTGCTCTCATGGGAATCAGTGTTTGCTCTCAGTACATGGAGGATAAGAAGAGGTGTGGGGAGCTGTAAGGCTTGATCCTTTAGTGTTTGTAAAGCACTCAGATGCAAGGCACAATAGAAAGGCAAAGTCTTATAATTGTTTATTATTTGGTGTTTGCCAAGCTTTGTACGGATAAGGAAAGTTCAGCTTGTCTTCACATGGTGTCACACAGCTCGTATTGTCCCTCAGCTCATGGTAATCCCCTTCTGTGCACCTTCCTATGGTTTGCTTCCTGTTCATTTAACAGGTATGTTGGCTACATGTCTGCTTTAACATTCAGCCCCTACCATGTAGCCTTTGACCCTCTGCATAACATTAGTGGCAGGGGCGGCTCCAGGCACCAGCGCAGCAAGTGCGTGCCTGGGGCGGCAAGCCGCGGGGGGCGGCCTGCCGGTCGCCATGAGGGGGGCAGTCAGGTGGCCTTCGGCAGCGTACCTGCGGGAGGTCCACCGGTCCCGCGGTTTCGGCGGCAATTCGGCGGCGGGTACGCCGAAGCCATGGGACCGGCAGATCACCCGCAGAAACGCCACTGAATCCGCGTGACTGCGGACCGTCCGCAGGCACGCCACCGAAGGCCGCCTGACTGCCATGCTTGGGGCGGCAAAAAACATAGAGCCGCCCCTGATTAGTAGATATAGGCCTAGTGCTTACAAACCTTCAGCCTCCTCAGGGAAACTTAACGCTCAGTCAACCTGTCAATGGGAGTGTTTCCATTGACTTCTATGGGAGCTGGAGCTGGCTTGAAAGGGCCCTGATTACACTGGCTGGATTTTCATCCAGTTGTCTAATAAGGTGGGCAGTATAAAACCTGGTACAGAGCTACTACTTTCTACTCCGCACTGGTGAGGCCTCAGCTGGAGTACTGTACTGTGTTCCCATTTAGTTTAAGGAAGATGTGAACAAATTGGAAGGAGGCCAGAGGAAAGCAACTATAGTAAGAAGTTTGGAAAGCCTGGCCTAGAAGGAAAGGTTGAAAGAACTGGGTATGTTTAGCTTAGAGAAGAGAAGGCTGAGGGGGATCATGACAACGGTGTTCAAATACGTGAAAGGTTGTGGTAAAGCAGACGATGTTCAATTGTTCTCCGTGTCCCTCAAGGGTAGGACAAGAAGTAATTGTCTTTGTTTGCAGCAAGGGAGGTTCAGTTTAGATATAAGGAAAAACTATCTAACGACGACGATAGTTCAGCACTGGAACAGGTTACCAAGCAAGGCTGTGGAATCCTCGTCACTGGAAATTTTTCGGAACAGGTTAGACAAACACCTGGCAGGAATGGTGTAAGTTTACTCGATCCTGCCACAGTGCAGGGGGCTGGACTAGATGACCTCTTGAGGTTCCTGCCAGCCCTACACTTCTATGATTCTATATTGTAGCCTGTTGTCAGACCAAAAACAGGAGTTATATTACTCAAAGGTCACGTGGCAGGGTTAGGGCATTTGGCATCTGATCCTCATCCTGCAGACCTTACCCGGCCAAAACTCCTGTTGACTCCAGTGAGGGTTTTGCCTAAGAAAGGACAGCAAGATTGTGCCTTCAATGCATTTGCCTCAGACGTGGCCTTCCTCCTTTTCTCTGAGAATGGTTGTGTGAGGAGCTGACTGGAGGAGCAGAAGAAGGATAAGTTAGCTGTGTGTGTGCGGCGAGGTCAGAGGGTTAAGAGAGGGGGAAGAATCTTGACTGTTTTGATGGTGTACGTGGAGCAGTTTACACAGCTGTTATTGGTAGCGCAATCCTTTTTCTTTCATCATCCCATACTGAGGTCCAAATTCTGCTCTCAGGTTTTCAAGCCAGGCTCTGATTTCAGTGAATATAAGACTGTACATATCCCATAGGACGATTTGGTCTCTGACCCTGAGAATATGCAGAGCAGTGATCCGGGCAGGGTCCTATATTAAGCACAGTAACACAAATAGAGACCTAGCCAGCTTTCTCCCAACCTATGAGTGGCTCCTCCTAACTGTGTGTATCTATGACACCCCCCTCCTCTTTGTCAGCATTTTCTGGCCTGTGACCTCCTTCAGGCTGTGATTCCCTGCCCTTCCACCAACTCACCCACCTCTACCTGCCTGTGAGTCTGCCATCTCTGTTAACTCTCATATGCCCATGGGAGGAAGCAACATACATAACTGATACGTGAATGCTCACTTGCTAGATTCTTCAGAGAGCAAACAAAACAGGCATGAACACACGTGAAAATAATTCATTCAAAAATGCAGCTATTTGTGGAGAGCTTTTTGCTGGCTACACCTGGCTGCAGAATGATTTAATTCTCATTCTCTCTCTGTCCCTGCTTCTCTCTCAGTATATATTTTTTTCACTCCGTCAGATCAGCCCACAGCTTTATGTTGGATTAGCTGGAAGATATTCACAAATCTTTTCACCTAAATGTAGCTCTCAAACGAGGGATCTGTGTTAATGTTTTTTTGGTGCTGCGTTGAGGGAGTTACATTTGAAACTCCCACTGTACTCATGCTTTGGCTGCAAATGTATCCTCTTTGGCATCTTTTTGGTTGCTGTAGTTATTCTTTTTTTTATCCAGAGCAGTCTTTACACCAGAAGCTAGTGACTGAATGGAGTCCTAGAAAAACTAGAACAGCTAACATACCCCCACACCTTTCTCAGCCATTCTCCCATTTGTCTGTTTACTCACTTGTTGTGTGTCATCTAAATCCTAGATTGTGAGAGCTTTGGGGTAGGGACTATCTTTCTTTTATTTGTTTGTGCAATTCCTTAGCATGATTGGCCCTGATCCCTGTTAGGGGTTCAAATGCTACTTCAGTACAAATTGTCATGAATCAAATTTTCATCATTGTTTAATCAAGTTTTTTAAGATTGTTTTTATCGGGAATCCCTCCTTACTACTGGGCTGCCCAGATCTCAAAGCATCAACTCCGCTCCTGAGCTAAAGGAGAATTCCCATTAAGTATAACTGACAGCAGCGCTAATGTTCCCTTCCAAGCATGGGGAGAGACTGGAAGTTGCATTCTCAGCTTCTTGGCTCCCAGACTGTGACTGAAAGGGTCTGTAGCTATTTTCAGTAGAGATGATTAGTAACCTGGATAGTAGAGGTTGGGCTTCTGCCCAGTGGTGATGTGAAGGAAATTCTGCACATTCATCCCTGTAAGAAAGAACAAAGATTTAAAAAAAAAAAAAAAAGTTGGCAGTATCGTAAAAAGAGGGATGAATTTATTTACAGTGTATCAAGCACTTCAGTGCCCAGCAATTCGATGTTGGTTTCCCTGCACATAAGAGCACAAAAACCATATAAAAGTTGTTCACATTTTTTTCTTTAAATTAAGGGTAAAAACATATCTATGTATACTTCTGTCAGAGTAGCTTTGATCATACTGAACCAACAAGCAGATTTAAACTTTTGCTGTACTTTTTTTAAATGACATGACTGAATTTTAGGACATTAATTCCCTTACTTGGAATAAATGGTATTATGTCGTTAGGCACATATTTTGAGTTAATAATTATTGCTACTGTTGTGTATTTGGATCTACACGTTGAATGGGGTGAGGTTATACTGGTGAATTGATTATTCCACTACAAATTGGTATAACACTGGGTTATTTTAAGTCTTTTGTGTTCTAGTTAGTTTCCTGTAAGGGTTGTCTTTTCATTTTTAGAGGGCGTTGGTAATTCTGTAGATTTATAGTACAGTACAACTCAAATTATCCAGATTACATTTAAATATCTTGTAAGGTACAATTATTTGCTATCTAGATAAATACAGTGATTTAATAAGCCTCAATGTTTCCCCTAATATTTGTTCATTCTCTTTTCCTCTCTTTCTTCCATTCTTTCCTTCCTGCCTAATTAAGATTATTTTGCAAGTTAGCATCTTGGATGATAACTGAAAATCACCCACTGTTGAAACATGAAATTTGTTATTCATAGACCCAAATGTAGAGTACATTCTAAGGCAGCCTTTACTCACACGAACTGTCCTCATTCACCTGAGTAGTCCCATTGACTTAACGGAACTGCTTGCACAAATAAAGCATATGACAAAGGCTTCCCGGATCAGGTCCTAAAATAACAACTTGAGGTAATTAGCCAAAAACAGGAATCCAGGAGCAACCGACTAGATCCTAAGTGCGGGGTGGGGGGTGATGGCCAGGGTGATCTCTCAAGGTCCCTTCCAGCCCTACTTTTCTATGATTCTGTGATTCCTAATTAAAGCGTCTGTAGCTGGCTGCATGGATAGATGAACTGACAATATGGACACAGTTCCTTACTAGTCCATTTGCCATTTTATTTCAGCGCTCGTGCACTTCACGAACAAAGAGAAAGCCGGTGGTGTTCTCATCGCCACCTCTGGAAAACAGGCCGAGTTTGTTTCTGAGACCTCTGAAGCCAATGTCATGGTGCAGTGGTACAAAGACGGCAAAGAAATCAAACGCACAAAGAAATTCACCCTGGAGGATAACGGGAAGCTGCACAAGCTCATCGCCTCAGCTGTAACAAAAGAAGATGAGGGAACGTACATGTGCAAAGTTGGAGAGGACACTCTAGTTTTCAATTTAAAGGTCTCAGGTGAGTTCATGAGGCAAGTGTGAGCAGGGCTTATATTGGGTACAGGAACATTATCACTTAGATTGTAAGCGCTTTGAGACAGAGGCTGCCATCTCTATGTGTGTACAGCACCTAGCACAGTGAGGCCCTGATCTCTAGGCACGTCTGCAATACACGTAAACAACAGTAATAGTAATATTCAGGTCACTAATGGAATGACTAGAGATGGGCCCAAGCCAAAACCTCAGATCGAAACACCCCAAACTTTGGACAGGTTTGCATCTGGATCTGGGTCTGAATCCTGTAGTTCGGTCCCATCTAGAGCACATTGCCTCAACAATTGATACTCCCTTTGAGCTCCCTCCTGCGAGAGGGGGTTTGAGAGTCTTGGGCTACCTTCTGAGAAAGCCTTGGTGCCCAGTTAAACTCGAGTTCTGCGCTCCTGTGGAACGTTTGTGGTCTCTGAGTGCGAGTCATTCCCTTAGGTAGCTTGACCTATCCCAGAAGTAGAGTGCATACCCCTCAGGCCAAATGAGGGGGAGTCCTAGAACTGATTTATTCCAGAGCTGGACAGCGGATGGATCACTTGATGATGACCTGTTCTATTCATTCCCTCTGGGGCACCTGGCATTGGCCGCTGTTGGAAGACAACAAGGAGTCTGGTGGCATCATAGCTACCCCCTGATGTTGGAATACAGGATACTGGGCTAGATGGATCTTTGGTCTGACCCGTATGGCCATTCTTATGTTTAGAGCTAATGGTATTGAGGAGACATCATAAAAAATGCTCTGTGAAATCCAGCCAACTCCGCACACAGGGATTGGTGGGAAGTTTTTCTGGATTTGTTTCACTGGATTTTGCTTTGAGCTTCATCCTCAAATGATTCCCAAATCTCAAAACTTGAAACTACCAAATTTCATTTGGTCATGGTCCAAACTACTGAATTTCACATTGTTTCCACCAGAAGCTGTAGCCTGGCTCAGGCAAACTGGACCCATGTTTACCAAAAGATTTGGAAACCTCAGTGAACTTTCTGGCAAATGGGCTGAATTTCAGGCTGCTAAGAAAACCCTAAACCAGACAGGTTTCACGTTTTATAATAAAAAATGTCCAGAGTGCTAATCCGAAGCTCTGCTAGGCAAGAGGCCAGAACTAAGACCGGGACATAAGCTACCTTTGTGGTAGTGAATGTTCCCCAGAAACCTCTAATGCAGGACTCCAATGAAGCTATTATTCCACCGTCAAATAATTCTTGTAAAAATAGATTACGCCTAATGATAGATAAGTTTTAACAGAAATGTTTGTTCATTGGTGCCGTAGAAATGGGTAGCATGGGTGTATCATCTTAGCTGCCCTTGGGATACTTGGCGACCTAAAGCAACAGGTGCTGCAGAATAATATGTAATGTTAAACTAAGGTTACTTATCACTGACAGCTGTCAACTTACTCTGCAGCAGGCTAGCTTGATTGAGTGCCTGGTATGAAATACATGTTACGCTCACTGTTGCTTGTTAGCATGAGCAATGGGATGTGTCATACATGTTTGTTCCTAGATTCATCTACAAAGTGCTGATCTCCATGCAGCTCAGTGCCACTTATGTCATCTTCACTTTAATGTTAACCCTTTGCAAATGCATTCTGGGAAAAAAAACCCAAACTACAGCCCTGGTTGTAGTAACCCCCAACCTGGATCATTAGCAGGGTTTGAACCATAACCTTCAGAGCCAACGTACAGGCCTCTACTATTTGAGATAAAGGAAAATGCCATTAAATGCACGCAGCAGTAGGCTTTTATTATTTGCATGGACTGGCTTCTTCTTTTCTTAAGACGAAACATGTCCAATTTTTAATCTCTCCTTACAGGTCAGGTTTTCTAAACCTTTTATCATGTCTATTGCTCTATTCTGAACTCTCTCCAGTTTGTCCATATCTTTCCTAAAGTCTGGTGCACAGAATTGGACACAATACTCCAGCTGTGTCCTCACCAGTACCAAGTAGAAGGTCCCTTCTAGTTACCCCCCATGTCTTACATATGACTCTCCTATCAACTTCTGCCCTTAGCTACACTCATATGCAACTCCCTTAGTGACAACCATGTTGTCTTTACACTCTGTAACCATACTCATCCTTCCTGCGTTAGGCTGAAATACATAGCACCAGCTTCTGCACATGGTTAGTGTATCCACAGCTCCCATGGGAGTCGGGGGATCCATTTTTAGTAACTCCCTGGAGGGGTCATCAGAAGGGTTTGAACTTGGGACCTTTAGCACAGACCTCTACCACTTGAGCTAAAGGAGAAATTCCAGTAGCAGGTAGCTGTAGTTGGCTGTTATCATCTGTGAACTGGCTACTGGAGGGGAATGAAACACAAGCAAATTTACACATGTAAATTCTTCCATAGATGGAACCCCAGGCCGTGGAGATCACTAACATTGAAATCATGCCAGGGTAACTGGATTGTTCTTATGTTGCTCTAGGTTAATAGAGGGGCACAAACTACTTTTCCTTCTTCTTTTTAGATGAAGTTGTTAAGTTTGTCAACAAGCCTAAAGCAATGCCAGAAATTTCAGTCAGTCCTTCTGAGGGTCTAGAGCTGGCGTGTGAGGTCTCGGTGGCGAGTGGAGCTGTTGTGTGGAAGAAGGATCAAACTGAGGTTAAGCAGGACCAGAGAACGACAGTCACCTCTCAGGGAACAGACCGAAAGCTCATCATCAAGAATGTGACACAGCATGACCAAGGGAGCTACACCTGTGAATCAAAGGATGACAAAGTAACATTCCAAGTCAAAGTCAAAGGTGAGCGGATGCATGAAATCTCAGGAGCAAGAAAATACTTAATCCTGGATAGCATCCTGCATCTAAGGTGTATCCCCAAACCCTTTTCAGGGTAAATAACTCTGCCACAGCGCTTGATTTTCAGCCAAGCCTGAAACCTGCCTCTACTTTTGCATGTGCAATTGGGTGTCCACAAATAATTGCACGTGCAACATGTTGTGGCTGCAGAGGGTAGCTCTTGGATATCTAGCGACCTGCCTGCACCATTGCACCTGTAAAATTAGATGCCATTGCACCTGCAGCATCAGGTCCACAGAATTAAAACACAAAATAATAGCAGAGTCAGGAGTGGGTGAGAGAAACTAAGAGATGTAGCTAAAAGCAAAGAGGGATGTTTGAAGTGACACAGAAAAGCTCTTCCAAATAGGAGCTGGTTTTTGCAGCGTTCTGCAACGTTCTGGTTGTTCTTTCAAAAGTTTACAACTGAACATTGACTTAATACAGCTTTGAAACTTTATTGTGCAGAGAAAAATGCTGCTTTTAACCACCTGAATTTAAATGAAGCAAGCACAGAAAGAGTTTCTTTACCTTGTCAAATCTTTTTTTTAAACTTTCGCTTTATTCTTAGTAGCTTACATTTAACACAGTACTGTACTGTTTGATTTTTTGTTGTTTTTGTTTCTGCTACTGCCTGATTGTGTGCTTCCAGTTCCAAATGAGGTGTGTGGTTGGCCGGTCAGTTCGTAACTCTGGTGTTCGTAACTCTGAGGTTCTACCATTTGTGGTTATTGTGGGCCATGTCTTGCTTTGCTGTCCTTTGAAATCCTCCATTGGTACCAAATAGTCTCTTGCTCACTGCCCCAGTTTTGATAAACTAGGAGGCAGGAGGGCACCTGCTGCAAAGCTATCCACAAGCGAATCAGGACTAAGACAGGGCAGTGTTTGGATGGGAAGCTACCAAGGAACATGTAGGTGCTGGAAGAAGTCAGTGGAATTACTCTAGATCAGGAATGGGCAAACTTTTTGGCCTGAGGGCCACATCTGGGTATGGAAATTGTATGGCGGGCCATGAATGCTCACAAAATTGGGTGTTGGGGTGTGGGAGGCGGTGAGGGCTCTGTCTGGGGGTGCAGGCTCTGGGGTGGGGCCAGATATGAGGAGTTCAGGGTGCGTGAGGGGGCTCTTGGCTGGGGCAGGGGGTTGGGGTGCAGGGGTGGGGGGTCAGGTCTCCAGCTGGGGGTGCAGGCTCTGGGAGGGGCTGGGGATGAGGGGTTGGGGGTGAAGGAGGGTGCTCCGGGCTGGGACCAAGGGGTTTGGAGGGGGATCAGGGCTGGGACAGGGTGTTGGGGCATGGGAGGGCGTCAGGGGTGCAGGCTCTGGGCGGCGCTTACCTCAAGCGCATCCCGGAAGCAGCGGCATGTCCCCCCTCCGGCTCCTACTCAGAGGCATGGCCAGGCGGTTCTGCACGCTGCTCTGTCCGCAGGCGCCACCCCTGCAGCTCTCATTGGCCATGGTTCCCGGCCAAGGGGAGCTGTGGGGGTGGGGGCAGCATGTGGAGCCCCTTGACTGCCCCTACATATAGGAGCCAGAGGGAGGACATGCCACTGCTTCTTGGAGCCATGCAGAGCGGGGCAAGCCCCCAACCCCGCTCCCCGGCTGGAGCGCCGGAGCAGGGTAAGCCCCGGACCCCGCTCTCCATCGGGAGCTTGAGGACCACATTAAAACATCTGGAGGGCTGGATTCAGCCCCCGGGCCATAGTTTGCCCACCCCTGCTCTAGATTTATACCAGGGTGACTGACAGCAAAGCTTAGCTCTTAATGTTTGTGAAACTGTGAGATCCTTGGACTAAAGTGCAGTGTGGTGGTGATCAGTCAGGGTCATCACATGATCTCTCTTTATGGACGTTTGGTGCACCAGCCTACAGCAGCTTTCGAGGATAGTGTTTTCTGTTGGGAAGGAAGGATGGTCTTGGGGTAAAGGCATTGGGTTGGGAATCAGTAGATCTTGGTTCCGTACCTAGCTCTGCAAGAGATTTCTCATGTGACTTAGAGATATTCCTCTCTCGATGTCTCAGTTCCCCATTTGTAAAATGGGAACAAAGATAGGGAAGCATCTCAGAGGGCTGTTGTGAGGATATAGTCATTAATGTTCCTGAGGTGCTAAAATATTACAGTGATATGGGGAATGTTTCCTAAGCCCCATGATAGGAGACTGCAAAAGGACATAAGTGACTGTACTTCCATCTTGCAGAGACGGAAGAGATGTTTGCAAACAAGGAGAAGGTGCAGAAGGAGGTGAAGGCCATTCTGACAGAGAGCGCCACCCTCAGCTGTGAGGTGACTCAGGCCAAGACTGAAGTGAGGTGGTACAAGGACGGGAAACTGATCACCTCCAGCAAGAAATTCAAGGTGGAGTCTGAGGGCAAATCCCGGCGTCTGGTCGTGGAGCAGGTGGAGAAGAAAGATGCTGGAGAGTACACCTGTGAGGCCGCAGGCCAGAAACTGACCTTCAAGGTTATCATCACAGGTGAGTGAGATGCTCTGATTTATATTTCGTTGACTTCTCTTTCTGGGTCTTTTCTCATGTTCTCTGCTGACATGATAAAATGGATTATTTCATGTTCTTCTATTCTTGCTTTGAACTGTACTGCCATGAGACTGAGGAGGGTTGGACCAGACTTGGGGCTAGTCTGGAGACACAAGGTCTCTGCAGGTCTCCTGAGGTTCAGATTCTGGGGCTGGAACATGTATAAAATGTCATCAGGCAAAAGCACATTTAGCATGTCCAATGCAATCATGTCTACCCTGTCCTCCCCACTGCTGCTCAGCCTGAAAATCACTAGCTCTCCTCTTTCGTTCTCTCTTCCTTCCTCCTCATAATAGCCTCCCTCTCATAGAATCATAGAATATTAGGGTTGGAAGAGAACTCAGGATGTCATCTAGTCCAACCCCCTGCTCAAAGCAGGACCAATCCCCAACTAAATCATCCAAAGACACAGACACACACAGGGGCGGCCCGTCCATGTAGACAAACTAGGTGGTCGCCTAGGGTGCCAAGTTAAATGGGGCGCCAAATTCGAGGAAAAAAATCAAATGAAAAAAAAAAATGAAAAAGATGAAAAATACAAATAAAATAACAACGATGTCATTATTTCAATACCCATGCGCATACGGAGGGAATATGAATTATAATTCATTTCTTTACATTTCTGAGAATTTATTAATATGCCAAATCTTTTACTTACTGCAAAAAAAATATTTTAGCAAAAAAAATTTTCAATTTGCAACGTAGGGTCAAGATGACCCACTCCTCAATTTTGATAAGCAATAACTCAGCCACAATGAAACACATCCACCAGCGGCAAGAGCTGCAATGCTAACGACACCTAACTCGAATATACATCAAGGTCACATAGCCGGAAATTCATGTAGAGCGGAGATATCGCGAGTTGATACATGTCAAAGGGTCGTTTTAACACACGTCGCAGGTAGATGGTTAAGAATCGAGCGAATACTGTGGAAAATTGTGTTTCTTGGTGCCAAAGAATAAAGAATAATGTCTTTCAGCATTATAAATCCAAAATGTGAGTATCGTTAAGCGTTATTAAACCTTAGCGTTATTATCGGGCTGTATAATTATGAACTTTTCTTTGTTATAACTGGTTCACATCTACTAAATAAGGTCCATAAAAGAAAAGTAACAGCGTTAACACTTAATAGACTACTAAAGTGATGATGTCGCACTCCAAGCGGGTAACCGTGAGAAAGGGAATTACTTTCCAAACAACCAGTGTCGGATTATAACATCGAAAAAAGTCATTTTGTTTCCGTGTAAACGCTGTAACTAACTGTTTTAATAGGTAAGTGAGTGTATGTTACTAATCATTGAACCTTTAAGCAGTGAAAAGACGTGTTGGGATGGCTGCAATGTGGTTTAAATCGCCAACCATGTGGTGAGTGTGTCAGCCATCCTTAATGCTATAATGCTTGCAGTTGGGAGCACAGTACATAATAATAATCAAATGCCCCATGGCAGAAAGAGGAAAAAGAAAACCCTTAGGAGCTGAGTATCGTAAACGAAAGGCTGAGAAGGAAAAGGACCTAGCAAAACAGCAGGGATCCTTCCTGAAATATCTTCTCTTTAATCCAAATAAAAATGGAAGCAGTTCACAGAATCCAGATGAAGGAATTTTACTTGGAGAGGAGGTTAGCTCACTTCTAGATAGAAGCAGTTTGGAACATCAAGATGAAGGTATATTACTTCAAGATGAGGGTAGCTCACATCCACAAAAAAGCAGTTTGGAAACTCAAGATGATGGAAACTTACTTCTAGATGAAGGCAGCTCACAGCATCAGACTGATATGGAAGTGGAGAAAATGTATTCACCTTCAGAGACACATGCAGAAATTGAAGTAAATGAAGTAGAAGGAAGAAAGGATGAGGAAGTTACAAACAAGTTACAGTATGAGGACCCAGCTTCATGGACCCAAATTCTCGTGGAACATGGACCTGAAGAAGTTCATGAATTTCCCTTCCCTAAGGATGGAAATAAAAGAAAATTCTCCGCTCAGCATTACAAGAGGAAACTCATTAAAGGGGAAGAAATTCATTGAAACTGGTTACAATATTCAGTGTCGAAGGACTCTGTGTTTTGCTTTTGCTGCAAGTTGTTTAGAAATCAAGCAATTGGTACATAACTTACTGAAAATGGTTCGAAGGACTGGAAAAACATATCTTCAATTCTCTCTTCACATGAAAGAAGTACAGAACATTTGGAATGTTTTCAAAATTGGAAAGAACTTGAATTACGATTGAAAAAAGAAAAAACTATCAATGAAGAAAATTTATGTGTGATGAAGGAAAAAGAAGAATATTGGCAACAAATATTAGAGCATCTGATTGCTTTAGTGAGAGTTCTCAGTGGCAAAATTTAGCATTCCGAAACCGCGGTAGAAATGAAAAATTATACACTCCAGGTAATGGAAACTTTTTAAAATTTGTTGACTACCTAGCTGTGTTTGATCCAGTCATGAAGGAACATCTACGTAAAATAACTGATCATGAAACACAGGTTCATTACTTAGGAAAAAATATGCAGAATGAACTGATTCAAATCCTAGCAAATGCCATTAAAAAGAAAACTGTAAAAGCTGCCCACTCTGCAAAATACTTTTCAATAATACTGGACTGTACACCAGGTGTGAGTCATGTTGAACAAATTACGATGATCATTCGTTTTGTGGATGTGGAAAAGTCTGCAGATGAAGGTAATGTTGAAGTGCTCATAAAGGAACATTTTTTGGGTTTCGTACCACTGAAGGAGATGACTGGAGCATTTATGACTGAAACTATTCTACAAGAGCTTGAAACAATGTAATTATCTGTTGAAGACTTATGTGGCCAAGGCTATGATAATGAGAGTAATATGAAGGGTAAAGACAATGGTGTGCAAAGGAGAATGATGGAAATCAATCCTAGGGCCTTTTTCGTTCCTTGCAGTGCGCATTCTCTGAATTTGGTTGTCAATGATGCTGCTAGATGCTGTTTGGAGGCAAGCAGTTTCTTTGACCGGGTGCAACGTGTTTATGTGTTTTTTCTCAGGCTCAACATGCTGTTGGGAGATTCTGACTCGCCATGTGAATTCTCTAACTATGAAACCACTTAGTCAGACAAGATGGGAAAGTTGTATTGATGCTTTGAAGCCTCTTCACTATGAACTTGGAAACATTTATGATGCCCTAATTGAAATTTATGATGATACTACCTTTACTGGATCATCTGGCAATACTGCACATTCAGATGCAGAAGCTCTTGCAAACGGCCTTTCCAAGTTCAAATTTGTGACTTCACTCATTTTGTGGTATAATATCCTTTTCGAGATTAACCTCACTAGTAAGCAGCTTCAGGAAAAGAACTTGAATGTACATTCTGCGATTCAAAAACTGCAGCAAACTAAAAATATTCTGGAGGAATTCAGAAGTGATGAAGGGTTCGAAACAACACTGGTAGATTCTCTTGAGCTTGCTGAAGAAATAGACTTTCTGACAGAATTTGAACCAGAGCCAGTTCACATTCGGCAAAAGAAACAGCAGTTTTCGTATGAAGGACGAGACACACCCATTCAGAACCCAAAACAAAGGTTCAAAGTGAATTTCTACTTCACAGTCCTTGATACTGCTATTCACTCGGTTGATGAAAGATTTCAACAGATGCAGCAGCTAGAGTCAGTATTTGGCTTTCTATATGATAGCCACAGCTTGCAAAAGAAAACAGCAAAACAGATAAGAGAATTTTGTATAAAACTGGAGTCGGCATTGACTCATGAAAATTCAAAAGACATTGATGCTACAGATGTGTGTAGTGAGCTTCAGGCTTTTTCAAGATGACTTCAAGAAACATTCCACTCCTGAAGAAGTACTGAAGTTTGTTTGTGAAAATAAACTCAGACAGTTTTCCAAACATTTTTATAGCTCTAGGCATTCTTTTAACTTTGCCAGTTTCCGTAGCTAGTGGGGAACGTAGCTTCTCAAAGTTAAAATTGATAAAAACACATCTGCGTTCAACAGTGGTGCAAGAGAGACTTGTTGGACTTGCCACAATGTCAATAGAGCATGAAATAGCTGGAAAACTGGATCTAAAAGAACTAGTGACTGAATTTTCAAAACGTAAAGCAAGAAAAGTCATGTTTTAAGAGCACAGAGTGATTTTTATTCGGAGTGTTTTGTAAATACAGGTTAAAGTTCATTGAAGAGTTTTCTTATTTCTTTCTATGTTGGATGTGGTGGTAATGGCAATTAAAGCAGGATAGCGGAATGGATGATTTTGGATTTGTAATAAAAATTATAATTAACATTTTTAATGCATTTTTATTTGAAATCGGACTGAAATATCATCTAGCTGTCGTGTAAAAATCTGAAAATTGTGTGTCTCTATTTTATCTGATCTCAGAAACATTGGTTGGACAGACGGACGGACAAACCGAATAATTAAGCTTCTGTTTAAAAAAAAATGCTTAAAAAAAGATTAAAAGGAAAAAAGGGGCAAAATGTTTCCCAGTTTACCCAAAACCTCAGCCTAGATCTGCCCTTAGGGTTTGCGGGTGGGAGGTGCCAATTGCATGATTCGCCTAGGGCACCAGTTGCTGGCAGCTAGTCTAGGGTCGCCCCTGGACACACACCACTGGCACCTACAGGTTGGCAGGGCAAACAGATCAGCAGGAATCAATCTAACATCAGGAATCATAACATTCAAAAACCAGTAGGAGAACACTTCAACCTCTCTGGTCACTCAGTAACAGACTTAAAAGTGGCAATCTTGCAACAGAAAAGCTTAAAAAACAGACTCCAACGAGAAACTGCTGAACTTGAATTAATATGCAAACTGGATACCATCAATTTAGGCTTGAGTAGAGACTGGGAATGGCTGAGCCATTGCACACATTGAATCTATTTCCCCATGTTAAGTATCCTCACACCTTCTTGTCAAACTGTCTGAAATGGGCCATCTTGATTATCACTACAAAAGTT